TAACCCGTTACAAAGCACCAAAGTTTGCGTGATTGGGTCTATTCAAAGAAATCATCTGGACATCGGTTGCTGCTGTTGATGAAGTATGTGTCACCGTTGCTGATACTTGAATACACCAGCGGGTTCTCAGCACCCTGCACACAGTTCAACAGCGAGGCACACGGTGTATACACGCACACACACACACGCGCGCGCACACACACACGGTATTGCCATCCAGCAGCAGGGTACTAGTACAGTACTTGTATTCCACACTGTATAGGATATTTCCATCGGTTGTAAGTTGTTACAATGACATCATCGGTTGTAAGTTGTTACAATGACATCATCGGTTGTAAGTTGTTACAATGACATCATCGGTTGTAAGTTGTTACAATGACATCATCGGTTGTAAGTTGTTACAATGACATCATCGGTTGTAAGTTGTTACAATGACATCATCGGTTGTAAGTTGTTACAATGACATCATCGGTTGTAAGTTGTTACAATGACATCATCGGTTGTAAGTTGTTACAATAACATCGCCATTGACTACTCCTATATTACACGTGGCCATCAGAAAATGGCGCAGCAAAGCAAGTTGCACATAGAATTCCTCGTGCTAATTGAACTATAGAACTAAAATTTGGACCTTCTGTTTGAAAAATTGCAGCTCTTGATGCTGATCAGGCTCTAGCTCTGCAGGAACATGCTATTTGTACGTTAATTTAAAAAAAGAAATAGCGCGAGTACTTTGTATGCATTCCATTCATAGCGCAATACTTTGAAGTGCGTACGTACATGACTGTATAGAACCAGATGGATTGTTTTTTGTTGTTGTAAAACTATACATCCATAGCACAGGGTGTAATTTGTTAAAACGCCAACAGCCACCGCCCAGTCACTTACCAGCTGCTCTAGTTCAGTTCCTTTCTCCCATGCCTGACTAAATGCTAGAGCAAAGTTGCGAGACTGCACCGCCTCCGGCTTTAGTATGCTGACTGTCCGGCTACCACCTGCCACCGGTAGTAGTGCAAGGGTGCGGGGGGGGGGGGGGAGGGGAGAGAGACAGAGAGAGAGACAGACAGAGACAGAGAGCATAAACTATCAAATGTGTGCACAATTCTCATCTCCAGCTAGACACCGCTGTACCAACTGTATCCATATATGGACAGTGTGTATGCAGCTGTGTTGTGGTTACTAGTTACCATGGCACCTACCGACATAGTATGCACCTTCGAGCCTCCTCCCCCACTCACCCATGAACCAACCCCTCTGTTGGTCGGCGTGTTTCAATGTGCGACTGCTGAGCATGCATTGCAACACTGTACTCTTGTGCTAAAGACTTACCCATGGCTTCAGCATATGGGTTCGGTGCAGCAGATGTCCCTCTGACAGTTCCATAAATGCCACCTTGTTTTAGGACAAGTTCTCCCTTTCCGCCATTGTCAAGCGACACTGACCAAGTGAACACAACATACAAAGATGCAAACAAGTCAAATCCTCTTTAAACGTTTTTACAAGCAAAACCACCACCTCCAACAAAGACAATAATAATTATACAATCATGCACATGTATGGTCACTTTGTGAGTTATGCTCTGTCATGCACAGCACAAAGTAATGTACCTCGTTTTACGCCAGTCCGATCCTCTTTGTGGCGGAGGTAGATCTTCTCCACTTCAATCAGTTCATCGCCCAACAAGACAATGGACGATTCGCTGTCTTTCACAAAGCGTGCACCTGCAACATACAGTGTACATCCAGTGCTAGTGGGATATTATTATCACAGTATCGCAAAACACGTAAGTAACGTCATTAGATACTTCTGTACTGATAGTCAACCTGGTGCCAACGTTAGCATCTGAGAGGTTATAGTCTCCTTGCATGCTCCCACATCTGCACACCAATCCTCAAGACACTGACATCATTGATGGAAGCGATGCCTCCATCATGGCTCACTATCCACACTGCACTGGGGCTACCGGTATTAGCAAGAGTCATTGTGTGACAAAGTTCTTCATATGGAGCATTGTACGGTCAGTCGCAGCTCAGGTTTCTTCAGTGTCTGCACATTGCTTTGGATTAATCCGTGAATCCAGTCCTCTCACCTCCCTTCCTGTAGATCATGTAAAGCATGAAGTCAGGTCGCTCTCCTGGTAGCTGCTCCATACGCCTCCACATGTTGTTGAGAATGTGGCCGCATTTCCAGTTGTCAGTGAAGCGAACAGTGCGATAGGACTCATCCCTGACGCACATTACAGAAAAAAAACATATAAAAATAATAATTTTTCCTTCATGAATCATGGTCTTGGGCTGCTGCTAGCCTGGTGCCAGTTCCTGTGAATCAGTTTACCGGTATCTCTCATCATTTCTTTTTCCCCGCCCCGTCCTGCCCTACTCCAATCTGTTATGTGGCAACAGTAGATCGTATACACCAGAGAGCATCTACACATGGCATGTCTATAGCAGAACAAATTTGCATCGTGGAAAAGACAAGCAAAAGAGCCATGCCTGGTCAGGAGTTGCTAAAAAGGTAAAAATAATAATATTATGTCTACTTCATGCCTTCACTGACCACGTGAGTCAATTCCAGAGTGTTCTCCATGGACCACACACGTACACACGGACATGCCAATACTACAGACTACACTGTGCAGATTGATTGATAGTTGATCTCAACAAGCCAATTATTGCCGAAACGTTTCTTGCAAACCTGTTTACATAGCCATTGTGTCAGTGCATGTGTTTGAGATAAAGACAATCGCATGGTGAGTGCAGCAGTTATGATTTTGATGATCCAGTGCGTGTTGCTATTGTGGCAGGCATGTTGTCTTTGGGTCAGTGGGTCTACAACATACATGTAGTACATGTATTACATGCTGTCTTTGCTACACTGATCGTAAAACTGTCTCAAGTGCATGTTTACTCGTGTGTCAGTTTGTGGTGTCCGCACAAAACCTTAGTTTACTTACTTTAGGAATATACGAACGAGGTGGACATCCACATCATCACTGTTTGTATCTACCAGAACAGCGCAACCACACAATGTCCTGTATATCAAACTTACTACCAAGACGTGCATACCACACATGTACCGGTACATGTATATACTTCAAAGTAGCAATGCCGCAATGTACAAACTGTCCCGAAGATTGAAGTGGGTGGGACATGGAAAAGGCTGACAACTCAAGCCCATGATGCTTCCTTTACTGGGTTGTGAGAACTTTTAAAACTGAAAGAGATGGGTCTTGAGCCTATGCTTTTTGAAGTACTGGCCACTAGTAATGGCCGATAGAACAGTACAATACTCCGTCACGGTCACACATGCACGTCACGTGACGTGTGGTACATCTTCTCTGACGCCCGAAATGTCAGCTTCATGTTCCTCCGTGGCAGCACAACGCCATAGCAGTTGGGGTTTGCCCGCTCTCTCCATATTGCTCTGTTTCTCAACATGAACTTTGGCCGACTTCCTGTTTCATACTTAGAAGTAGAAGATACCTTTTCCTCCTTTCTAACCAGCAGCATAAACATACAATTATAATTATTCCTACTAGTAGGCTAATCCTAACCCGGTGTGCCAGTGTGCTTAAAATCCTCTATGCCGCTAGCTACATTGTAGCTGAGTGATTACAAACCAAACTCGTTCTCCGTCACGGTATTATAGCATGCATGGCTGGGTAGTGTTAGCATAGCGTTCACACTTATCAGACAGGGGCAATTGTAGCTCAGTGATTCGTGTGTGCAATGCGTATACATGTACTGGTAGTGTTCCCATCACGGACTCACCCTATCAGTCACGCGCTTACCGTCATCCGGCACTGGCTCGGACAGATCAAAACTCGTTTCTCCCTCGCAGATGTCCTGGCTCGATCTCTGCCTATCGAACGGGATGGCGAGACGAGGTCTCCTTTGCCATGTGTCGCGCAGTGAGTTTGATGTGCCCTTGCTATTGTTACTGCCTGTTGATCCTGTTGAGCGTACACTAGCAGAACCGTTACTCATACGCCGACCTAACTTGCCGTCGGTGGAGAGGCGAACGGAGGACATCACTGAAGACTACGGGAAAGATGAGCAAATGGCTGCGGTGATAAGAAGTAAGGAATTCCAATGGATTTCCCGCGATGCATATAACTGTGATCACCTCAACACCACTGTGGCAATGCGTAACACGCCTCACGGCACTTAATGAGTGTCTGGTTTCTTGGCGGGATATTTCAGCTCTGGAAGCCTTGCTAACATTTCACAACACCTAACCCAGCAAGCACAGGGTTGTGTGTAGATTGCCAGAGTCCGTCTCCTCTAAAATATTATACTACATCCACTGGCACTGGCAAAGGCAAAGAATACCTCGCACTACCCAACACTCCTCACCTCCGTAATGTGCACAGGAAACTGCAGCACCAGTATTCATTGACATTGGCCCATCGGAAATTTACACCACGCCGGTAAACTACACTACATCGTCCGACTTTGAACCCATCAGTGGCATCACCCGTGAGTCCGTGACCATACTCTTACACATCCATGTACATTTATCGCACTGCTCAATGAAATCCAGTCGCGTCACTCAAGTGAGCGCCGGGCGTTGCGCAGCCGGCCATAGACCTGCGAACACTGTACTGGGCTCAGCTCAGTGGGCTGCGAAGTTGCGCAAGGCGCAAACTAACTAACTTCAAGACTTAGTGTAGAGAGACGCGACTGGATTTGAGCTGCACTGACTGCTTGGCACAGATCTGTGGCGATCTGCGGTGATCCCCTCGCCGCAGAGAGGAAGGCACGAGATCCAGAGTGGTCTCAGTCTGTGATCATGGACATGGTCATGGACATGATCATGGACATGATCATGGACATGGTCATGGGTGCTGACGTACAATCACATGTGCTAGTATAGTGTGGTAGTGAATCATGCCCATGGTGAACATGGTGAACAGGGTGAAGTACGGACAGTGGGTCATGATTGTATGTTTGTAGTTTCATGCAGATCAGGCAGTACAAAAAGGATGGAAGGAGCCGGATAGCCGGATCCCTCATCTCACCTATAATTATAGTATGGCCCGGGTCACGGCCGCGAAGAACAATAGCCCGCTCTAGCAAAATGGCGAACGAGCAGCATGCACACCGACGTTAGTGATGACTGGATCCATGGACGACCAACGCTGACAACAGTCAGTCGACAGTCTAGTCAGTGGACAGTCAGTACACACGGATACGCATACACATACACGGTGGTGACCGGTAGGCTTTCGATTTTGTGCACATGGAAATCACAAAACGAGTTCCGTACACACTGTGGCAAAGCAGTTCTCGGCTGGATACGACGACCTACTGCTGTGCGCGTAATGCGAAGATGTGCCGATGACAGGAGCCACACTAGGTACCATGTATGCACAAACGCCAAGAACCCGTGCAATCTGCGGTGTCTGGGGAGAGAACTGACGGACGCTCAGACTTGGCCGGGCCAGCGAAGTGCAGTGCATGTAAATTGTAATTACTTATAAAGGAGCAGCTGCAACGTGAAGTCTGAAGAGCTATCAAAATAAGTCATTCCGGGACAAGAGAACTAACGGCAAACGCGTGCAGTACTAGTACTGCATGCAACACAGTCAGTGGATCGTCATGTACAGTGGCACAAGGCAGTCACTGCCGTAGAAGCAGCAGCACTACCAGCAGCAGACCTCAGCTCAGAGAGTGGCAGCTGGCCGATTCGCTTTAGTTGGAATTGCTAATAGTAATAATTAGTATGCATGATGTACAGCGCACTTACTCAGTCCAGTCGAAAAGACCCACGGCCACGGACCGGTTGTCGCTCAAGTGGATATACCCTTACAGGGAGCGACAGTTCAGCTCATTTCAAACTTACTTCTGTCGTCTAGTGACACATGCAGCCATCCTCACCGCTTTCCAAAGCCATTCTCTTTACAACACATCCTCTTCCCTGGCACATACAATACTTGGACACAGGACACAGGTATAGTAAGGTATGCAACCAGTTATGTACATAATGTATTTGCAGTGTGCTTGATGATTTATGTGTGTGTGTGTGTCTGTGCGTGCATGTGTGTTTGTTTGTGTGTGTGGGGGGGGGGGGCGTGCGTGTATGGGTACAGAAGCAGGGGGGCTTGTACAAGTATGGGTGTTATGATATAATCCAAAACTGGTAAACCTGTATTAGATAAACCTTGTTGTAGTTCACGTTAGATTGACAGCATGAAACAATAATAAGTATGGGTGTGTACAGTCATGTACATGTATGTGTGTGTGTGTATGTGTGTGTGACCGTGTGTGTGTGTGTGTGTGTGTGTGTGTGTGTGTGTGTGTGTGTGTGTGTGTGTGTGTGTGTGTGTGTGTGTGTGTGTGTGTGTGTGTGTGTGTGTGTGTGTGTGTGTGTGTGTGTGTGTGTGTGTGTGTGTGTGTGTGTGTGTGTGTGTGTGTGTGTGTGTGTGTGTGTGTGTGTGTGTGTGTGTGTGTGTGTGTGTGTGTGTGTGTGTGTGTGTGTGTGTGTGTGTGTGTGTGTGTGTGTGTGTGTGTGTGTGTGTGTGTGTGTGTGTGTGTGTGTGTGTGTGTGTGTGTGTGTGTGTGTGTGTGTGTGTGTGTGTGTGTGTGTGTGTGTGTGTGTGTGTGTGTGTGTGTGTGTGTGTGTGTGTGTGTGTGTGTGTGTGTGTGTGTGTGTGTGTGTGTGTGTGTGTGTGTGTGTGTGTGTGTGTGTGTGTGTGTGTGTGTGTGTGTGTGTGTGTGTGTGTGTGTGTGTGTGTGTGTGTGTGTGTGTGTGTGTGTGTGTGTGTGTGTGTGTGTGTGTGTGTGTGTGTGTGTGTGTGTGTGTGTGTGTGTGTGTGTGTGTGTGTGTGTGTGTGTGTGTGTGTGTGTGTGTGTGTGTGTGTGTGTGTGTGTGTGTGTGTGTGTGTGTGTGTGTGTGTGTGTGTGTGTGTGTGTGTGTGTGTGTGTGTGTGTGTGTGTGTGTGTGTGTGTGTGTGTGTGTGTGTGTGTGTGTGTGTGTGTGTGTGTGTGTGTGTGTGTGTGTGTGTGTGTGTGTGTGTGTGTGTGTGTGTGTGTGTGTGTGTGTGTGTGTGTGTGTGTGTGTGTGTGTGTGTGTGTGTGTGTGTGTGTGTGTGTGTGTGTGTGTGTGTGTGTGTGTGTGTGTGTGTGTGTGTGTGTGTGTGTGTGTGTGTGTGTGTGTGTGTGTGTGTGTGTGTGTGTGTGTGTGTGTGTGTGTGTGTGTGTGTGTGTGTGTGTGTGTGTGTGTGTGTGTGTGTGTGTGTGTGTGTGTGTGTGTGTGTGTGTGTGTGTGTGTGTGTGTGTGTGTGTGTGTGTGTGTGTGTGTGTGTTCACTGGCCAGAAAAGCCACTTCAATCAGCTGTGTGGTGGATACCAGGCTAAAATTAGTGGCGGTCAATTCATCAGCCTTGCAAGCTTCACGTGGCTTTGGCAGTTGTGTGGATTAGACAGCTATCTGGCGCTTGTCTTGATCTGTTTCAATCAGAATCAGATCCGCTGTCCTTGCTATAAAGAGAAAATCTGTGGGTGCACATCCAGTGCATTTGCAGATTCGCGTGCTTCTCTTGCGAGTCGCGACGGGCGTATACATGGTACATGGTGTGTGTGTGGTGTATATGTGGTGTATGTGTGTGTGTGTGTGTGTGTGTGTACGTGTATGTGGTGGTAGCGGCGTGTATGCATGTGTACATGTATGTGTGCGTATTTGCAGATGTGTGTGTGTGTGTGTGCGCGTGTGTGTGCGAGTGCATTTAGGTTACGGAACTTAAGACGGCACACTGTTTACTTTGCATCATGGTACAACATCCAAAACTTACAAAAGTGCTGAAACTGTTTCCCTGACCCATTTGTTTGCAAAGTACTGCAGTGCCGTTAAAGGGGAAGTATACCCTAAAATCAAATTTTCACCAGTTGTAGTCTTCGGGGTGCTGAGTCGAATGGTCTTGGTCCGAGGAAGCTGAGACGCTCCCTTCCTCCTTGAATCCCAATCGAACTCGCGCACTTCCACCGAAACTGGGTGACTGCGCCCTACTAGATGGGGATTTGTATGCAAAATGTCACTAAAAGCGCCATTTCGTTCTTATAAAAGCACGGATGACCGCGATTGGCCCATATGTTGTAGTCTTTTGGACGCTGAGTCGACTGGTTTTGGTCCGAAAAGGCTGCGATGCAGCGTTCCTCCTTTATTCCCAATCGAACATGGTTGAACAAGTGGTCACGTGCTCCTGCGTACACCAGTCAGCTGGTCACCGTGCCTGCAGGGTACAACTTACTAGCCTGTTTGACCTTTTTTGGGTGCAGTCCTGTCACTCGAGTTGAACTCGAGTTGAACCTTGGTGTGAAATTTGTCGCCTGCTGGCGCGGTGACCAGGTGATTTGGGCACCCAGGAGCACGTGACCGCTTGTTCAACCATGTTCGATTGGGAATAAAGGAGGAACGCTGCATCGCAGCCTTTTCGGACCAAAACCAGTCGACTCAGCGTCCAAAAGACTACAACATATGGGTCAATCGCGGTCATCCGTGCTTTTATAAGAACGAAATGGCGCTTTTAGTGACATTTTGCATACAAATCCCCATCTCGTGGGGCGCAGTCACCCAGTTTCGGTGGAAGTGCGCGAGTTCGATTGGGATTCAAGTAGGAAGGGAGCGTCGCAGCTTCCTCGGACCAAGACCATTCGACTCAGCACCCAGAAGACTACAACTGGTGAAAATTTGATTTTAGGGTATACTTCCCCTTTAACACCATGTCACTGTCTTCACCAAGTTCTGTACTGCTACTTCTAGTACCAGACACACTAGCATACGGTGTAGATCTACATGCCCATGCGCTGTGTTACTGTAAGGCTGCGTTCGTTTTTAGCTACCTGGTAGAGTAGAGTAGAGTCACTCTACCGATAGAGGTAGATGGTAGAGGCAAGTGTACGAACGCTGTTCTACCGGATCTAGTAGTTTACACGATGTGTACGTGAAGTGTTTCTTTTTTTTATGGAGTTGTGTACAAATCCTTGATCTTGCTGGAAATCCCGTAGCTCTACCAACTTCTACCGGATTCTACCAACTTTTTCCCGGTAGAGCCGGTAGAGGAAAGTAGAATCTACCCTTTTGAGTAGAATTTTTTTTCAAAAAACGAACACCTTTACCGAAAGAAGTAGTTTCTACTCAAACTTGTAGATCAAAAACGAACGCCCCCTTAGTCATGTACTGATGTAGATACACAGTTTACACTCTAATGTAATACATGTACATGCAATACCATGATGATGTCATACATGCAATACCATGATGATATCACTAACCTGCCTCTCCAGCCGGCCCTTGTATCTCTTGCTGGCTGGCCAATCAGCAGCTAGCATGCCAGTTGGAAAGGCCAGATTTCCCCAAGCCACAGCACAGACAACCAGAGCAGCAATGCAGGTCGGGGCCCCGGGCTAATCTGGCACACAACGATTAAGATGTCTTTATTCGGTCTCTGTGACTTTGTGTGAGTGTCCAGATTCATGCTGGCCACAGTAGCCCTTTCCCAAAGATGCTCGCCACTTTTTTTCGCAACTTTTTGTTGTTTTGGAAGAAATCGCAACTTTCTTCATTTTCGCAAACTACTTTGCAACTTTTCTGCAACTGTGTGCAGAGAAGTGCCCTGGAGGAGACCAATGAAGTGTCCGTTATGCTCCGCTTCAACAAGAAGCGCTAAAACATTGCATCAAATCATCATGACAAGTGTACTTTGAGAAGTACAGTAAGATCGGGTGCCGAAGAACGCAGCGGCCCCAACAAGAAGCGCTAAATTTTTTTTTCACGGTTCGCGTGAGACTCGGCTGGAAGCCGGGTTTTCCGCATCCGTAGGAACGCCACCACCCTTCAAGGATCAAGGCGCAGATGCAGCTCCTAAAGCGGTGGGAGGTGAGTAGATCAGCTCACCAGCAAGTGGTCAAAGACCGAAAATCCCATTCACTGCATCCATGTTTTCCTCGTGCCAGGCCACGAGTTCCCAATTAACTGTGGGTCGCAGCACGGCTAGAAAAAATCCTTCCGCTTCCAAGCAGGACTTGAACCTGGTACCCTCTGTTTCTCAATCATGGTCACATTGCATCAAATCATCATGACAAGTGTACTTTGAGAAGTACAGTAAGATCGGGTGCCGAAGAACGCAGGGGCTCAAGGCATATCCTAGCATCGTTCTCGGTGTCGGTCATTTTGCTCTTATTCCACGGTCATAGCCGGAGAGCACCATACGATGCGATCACGCCACGTGAAAAACTTGTAGAAACGGTACATGGGTTTATTATTACTATTATTATTATTAGAAAGGAAAAGGACATATGGAAACGAGTTAAGAGTAACTCTCCACCACTTTAACTAGATACTATATACAGTCAGAAAGTGCAACAACTAGGCACAAAACCGACAGAGTACTGAGACATTCGACGTCCTGACACCTAGCTTCAACACATCTCCGTAGCGCTAACCGACAGCCTTCCAACTTGGAAGGTTCAAGGTTATGGAAAGACCAAAGAGGGGAAGACAAGCGCAACGAAAACGAGCACAAGCTACAGTCCCAACGGAACAAAGAATGTCGATTGTCACTGGACGATGACGAGACCAGTAGGCGATTTGACAAAGCGGTCTAACTACAATTCGAAGCAGCAAAGCAGCACACCACCCAACTTGGGTGGGTCAAAAATTTAAAAGATAAGTTAAGAAGGGGGAAGCTTTGCGAGAACGAATTGTACCAGCCGAAATCTAAACTCCTACAGTACTCCTCATGCAAGACATTGTGATGGACTAGTTGACTACAAAACAAGTTAGTTGTTTCACACGACGTACGTTTCGCCGTATGGTTCGTGACGGCTCATCAGGTGTGCAATTTGAAACTCGGGTATTGAGCCAATAATAAAAGTAGAAAGGAAAAGGACATATGGAAACGAGTTAAGAGTAACTCTCCACCACTTTAACTAGGTACTATATCCAGTCAGAAAGTGCAACAACTAGGCACAAAACCGACAGAGCTTTTTTTCTGCTCGTCTTGAGCCTGCCTCCCCTGATTGCTACTTCCATTTTCGTGTTTTTATTTTCATTTATTTTTCTCTTCATTTCTGGCTCTTCTTACTGGTTGTCATCGCTTCCATAATATTGGGCAGAACTGCCCGTTTGCCTTGCGATGTAAAATAAATAAACAACAACAACAACAACAGAGTACTGAGACATTCGACGTCCTGACACCTAGCTTCAACACATCTCCGTAGCGCTAACCGACAGCCTTCCAACTTGGAAGGTTCAAGGTTATGGAAAGACCAAAGAGGGAAAGACAAGCGCAACGAAAACGAGCACAAGCTACAGTCCCAACGGAACAAAGAATGTCGATTGTCACTGGACGATGACAAGACCAGTAGGCGATTTGACAAAGCGGTCTAACTACAATTCGAAGCAGCAAAGCAGCACACCACCCAACTTGGGTGGGTCAAAAATTTAAAAGATTAAGAAGGGGGAAGCTTTGCGAGAACGAATTGTACCAGCCGAAATCTAAACTCCTACAGTACTCCTCATGCATGACATTGTGATGGACTAGTTGACTACAAAACAAGTTGTTTCACACGAAGTACGTTTCGCCGTATGGTTCGTGACGGCTCATCAGGTGTGCAATTTGAAACTCGGGTATTGAGCCAATAATAAAAGTAGAAAGGAAAAGGACATATGGAAACGAGTTAAGAGTAACTCTCCACCACTTTAACTAGATACTATATACAGTCAGATAGTGCAACAACTAGGCACAAAACCGACAGAGTACTGAGACATTCGACGTCCTGACACCTAGCTTCAATACATCTCCGTAGCGCTAACCGACAGCCTTCCAACTTGGAAGGTTCAAGGTTATGGAGAGACCAAAGTGGTGGAGAGTTACTCTTAACTCGTTTCCATATGTCCTTTTCCTTTCTACTTTTATTATTGGCTCAATACCCGAGTTTCAAATTGCACACCTGATGAGCCGTCACGAACCATACGGCAAAACGTACGTCGTGTGAAACAACTTGTTTTGTAGTCAACTAGTCCATCACAATGTCATGCATGAGGAGTACTGTAGGAGTTTAGATTTCGGCTGGTACAATTCGTTCTCGCAAAGCTTCCCCCTTCTTAACTTATCTTTTAAATTTTTGACCCACCCAAGTTGGGTGGTGTGCTGCTTTGCTGCTTCGAATTGTAGTTAGACCGCTTTGTCAAATCGCCTACTGGTCTCGTCATCGTCCAGTGACAATCGACATTCTTTGTTCCGTTGGGACTGTAGCTTGTGCTCGTTTTCGTTGCGCTTGTCTTCCCCTCTTTGGTCTTTCCATAACCTTGAACCTTCCAAGTTGGAAGGCTGTCGGTTAGCGCTACGGAGATGTGTTGAAGCTAGGTGTCAGGACGTCGAATGTCTCAGTACTCTGTCTGTTTTGTGCCTAGTTGTTGCACTTTCTGACTGTATATAGTATCTAGTTAAAGTGGTGGAGAGTTACTCTTAACTCGTTTCCATATGTCCTTTTCCTTTC